CTAAAAAACCCTTCAAATTGTGTGGTGGAAGTGAGTGAGTCTGTGCCCTGTTTAACTTAAAGACCTCCTGCTAGAGGTTACACTGAGAGCCACTATTCACATTTCTTCTGGTATTGCCCTTGTTTAAGCTTTAAAGAATCAGAAATATTTATGAATATATTATTTCAGAAAACACACAATAGGTTTCCCAAAATGTAATATGTTCTGCAACCCTCATCTGCCTTAGCATAAACACTCTGTGCCCTATATCTATGTGCTGCAAACCGTAATGTTTTTAAAAAGCTAGACCCAGATCCTATCTGTAACCAGGCATTTATGCCATGCTTTATCACTTTATCATCTAAAAGCAATACAAGCATTTCCTTCTTAGGGATAAGATCAGGCCTTAGACAGAAAGAGTGAATTATCCTTAATTATTTCCCAGTGATTTACAGAGTAGCAGGCCATGGGAGATTAATTTCAAGAAACATTACATCATTACATATAGAACGTGCATATGAGATTTTTTCCCCCCGTCAATCTCAAGTAGTCCTGATTCTAATAACATGTCACTTTGCAGCACCATGAAAGCCAGTTGGCAGAAAACATTTTGTAATTTTGTAAAATTAGCAGCTATGAACCATTGAAAATCAGCTGAGACTAGTGACCTGGATACTGAGGTGCCATAGTTCCCAGCCACTAGCATTCAGTGTGACATATTAAAGGTTAATCCAATGGCATGCTAGTAGTTCTCTCTACTATATATCATAAACTACTGTGGTATTGGAGCCATCTGCATTAAAACACATTGTGCCTACATTTTAGATGTGTTTGTGTACAGAATATTTTTTTAAACAAACCAAATGATATATTGATGCATGCAAGATATATTATGTTAAGGCATTATGTCTAAGCAATCACACTGCCACAAGTGCCATATCATTGGGGAAAAAAGGACACCGTGTCTGAAGTTTGGTCAGTAAGTTTGTTCATTAAATGCTGCATCTCATTCCCCAGCTACTTTTTGAATAACACTTTTACTTGTAAAATAACTTGTTTCATCAAACCCTGTACAAGTAGAGGTGCATGGATTTAATTAAAGACTATCAATTAAACATGGTATGATTTGTAAGAAGTCAGCGTGCCACTGACACAATTTCTGTGTTAATTAAAACAAAAAAGGGAACCAGGACTTTGTTACAATAATGCTTTCAGTCAATGTTTTTTTCCAATTTGTCAATAGTTTGTGAAATGTTTGCCTGTTTCTATCTTGTGTGTTCATTCTCTCTGAAGCAGGAAGACTGTTTACTTTAACAATGCTCTCCTTATTAAACACAATTTAAAACTGCGTCACAAGTGTGGATTGGTGAGCTCTTTGTATTTGGTTACTTAAACTGATTTTCAGTTTCAAGACCACAAAAGAATTTGAACACAAAACAAGACTCAGAAAAATGTTATCTGTGGCTTTTAGATGATACACAGATTTTAAATCCAAAAGGAACCATTGGATTAACTGAGTCTAATCCTCTATCACAGGCCAGAGATTTCATTCAGTTATATTAAGGGGTTTTTGAACATTGAGTTCCTGATTCAGCAAAGAACTTGAGCAGATGGCCAACATTCAGCAGGAAAGTTAAAGTTAAACATGTTTTCAAATCAATGGCCATGTCTACATGTGCATTTACTGTGCAGTAAGCAGTTTTTAGACTGGCGCCTATACATGTAGGCGTTCCACCGCAGTAAAGTTACTCCCAAGTTCTTGGGTAAATTCCAGGTGTAGGTGATGGATCTTTAAACATTTTATAATCCTGGAAAAAACCCCACAGGGCATCAGACATGAAATTCCTTCCCCTCTACAGGAAGCCATATTTGGAAGATGTGAATGCAGTACTCTTTTGTGCTCTGCCTACAAAATAAGCATTACCTAGACACATCAACAAAATGACATACCTCTCTCAGTAATGTGTGAAGATGTTCAAAAACTGATTTTGATGTGCTCTTTGAGCCCTCTGGGGCTTCTGGAGCTGGGTTGTCCCTCAGAGAACTTGTATATTCTGGGTCCCTCATGACTGACTCCTTAACTGGGCTTGAGGATAAATGATGGTCTCCCCAAAACACCACCCAACTAGGGTCACTTCCAAAATGAATGCTTGCTCACAGAAATACAGATCTCTTCCCTCTTCTTAACGACACTAGGAATTAAAATGGTTAACCATGTTGACAACTAAATCATAATTACTTAGTGGCTAACAAGTTTTTAAAATGAAAGCTGAGATTTTGGAAAACAAGATAATATCAGTTCTGCATGCTGGTTCAGCAGGCGATGATGGACCAGCTGTTGCCAAGCCTTTCATGTTTAAAAGAAACATGAGCAGGCAGGCAAAACTCACATTAAATTCTACTCATTCAGGAACACAATCCCTGTGCACTAATCTCACTGAAGAAGGAGGTTTCAAATTTACAAATTACGGAAGAAATGGAGAAAGTTAAATGAAGAGCAACTGGTGCCCAGTTTGGAAAAAGCTCTCATTTTTATAATGCCCTAACCAAAACCCTGGATATGAACACCTCTCAGGTATTACATCTGTGGCCACATGAGCTCAGCTCTACCTACCTCTACGGATTTCAATACTAGAGTACAAAATGAGGAAAGGGAAAATCTACAAAGGAAAAGAAGTTTTCTGTGAAATCAAAACAAGAAGCAGATCTGCATTGGAATCAGCTCTTCCCTATGCCAGTGGTTAACTCAACGCACAGGGGAGATAAACAACCTTTTTGTTCAGCTTTGATACACCAGAGGATAGTGCATTTTGCATCAGTCAAAGGGTGCTAGTTACAGAAGCTACTGCAGCATATTTTTGATACCGTGTAGAGGAGGGACAAGGCACTTACCTGTTCCTCTGTGATACAGCCTTCTCTTGAACAATGCTGGTGCCTCCATGGCACTTGAATGCTATGAAGTGTGATCATTCTAGACACAATCTTCATTGTAATAATACCCCACACAGAGTCGATGGCCTCAGTAATTTGCTGACACTCAGGAACTTGTATTCTGTCCTCAGAAACTTCTGCCTCTTATTTTCCTTTCATTGCCCTGTGAAAGTTAAAAGTATGTTATATCCAGCAAAGTCAAAACTAGATGACAGGTCACACTGAGGATGAGGACACGTGTGCTATACGTTTTGCTTGAGTATGTTCAAATTAACCAATACTGTTTAGTTTTTAAAGCAATGAGAGTCTAGTCCTGCAAATTCTCTCTCAATTTATAGGGTTTACCAAGCTTCCTCTGTATAGTATCTCAGTTCTCCACATCTAACATTTATTGTTGTAAACAACTCTTCTCACAAAGTTCCCAGGAATTTTCTGTGCTAGCAGAAAACCGCATGAAGGTCTCTCAAAGCCTAGCTTGTGCCCTAACCACTAAACTATCCTTCCACTCTAGCATGGCTGCTAAATTTTGTAACAGGAACTTGGACTTTAAGAAAAATACCAAATTTTCCTGAGAAGCCATAAAATTGCAAGTGTCATTGGTCGAGAGAGCTTTTCTGAAATTATATCGCCGAAGTGTAGTTGAATTTGGCTGCTTTGAAGGATAATGCCACTCTAATGAATCAGCTGAGTTTTTCTTGGCTACCTGAAGGATTCAGAGCAGAGAAAATTGGCTCAGATTTCTTACAAGATTGGTTAGAAGCATGTGGCTTTTTTATTCATTCTTTTTGCTTATACTGAACCATTCATGAGCTGGGTGAGCAAAATAAAGTGAAAGGGCAAGGAAACTTAGCTAGGTTTCAACTCAGTTTCCTAAGGATTGTTCCACTAGGTTTACCTTTTTCTTTCCTTGAGGGTAAAAGCTCTTTCCAATCTATGTAAGCAGTAAGGACATCCCAAATCCTCAGGCATTTGTGGATGGCGGCCACACTTGTAGAGGCCCCATGATTCCATTCCACATAGCATTGTCTACACAATAGATATGTTTATGTAGATAGTGAATAAGGAAGAGCAAACAAGGACATACAAAAATATGAAGTATTACTCAAAAGTGTATAGTTCTATGTAGTTGTCACATTATGCTGCAAAAGGCTCATAACACAAGCAAAACAGCACTAAAGTAGTATTTATTGAGTAGCAACCTCCCCCCCCATAAGATATGAGGAGAGGTGACATCAGAAAATTGAGATGATTTGCTGTATAACGTGAGCTGTGATGGAAGAGCCAATCCTGCCAATCACAATCCTGCAGTTCAAGGACTGTGGAAAAGATACCTTGAATTCCCTGCTTCATTCTTTATGCCTCCATCTGATCTGTAGGGGCAAAACTCAAGAGAACTTAAGAGTTCCCATCACCACTTGGCCTCTGAGAAACAAACAACCAAGGAACACAAGAATCTTTCAACTAGAAAGGGGAAACCATTTTTCATTCACAGGAATAACAGCATTTTCAGCCTAGGAAAACTGTCCTGCCATAGCCAACTGGACTGAGGAAGCAAGGTGGGGGGGGAGGGACTGTATTTCTAAGCAACTGAGAACTGCAGCCCCTTTCCCCCCTCCCACTGCAGAATGAGCAAATGGAGCCGAGGGTCTCGGAAGCAGCAACAGTGACTAATTGCTAGGTCTGCGAACGTGCATGGAACTTAGTGGCTCCAGTCAGAACATTTGTAATCCCTGGGTCCAGTAAGATGGTGCTAGATTATGACAACTATTCTTAGAGTATAAATTCTCAAGGACATGTTCCCTTGTTTTGTTCTGTTCTTTGAATCCCCTATGAATGTCTCCTATGCAGGGATGGATTATGACAGGGTGGGACCCTAAACTAGGGACTCCCAACCTTTCCATGCCATGGCCTGGCAAACTGCTAACTGGAAGTGGCCGTGGCTGTGGACTGGCAAACTGCAGACTACTGTGCAGAGCCCCACGGCTGGAATATCCAGCTGGAATGCAAGTAAAGGTACTTCCACCCCCCAGGTGGGAGGGTGGGCCAAACCTCAACCACGGGCCCTGTGGGAGGAGTCGTAGCCTCTCCACCCAGCTCTGCAGGGCCGTGGTTTCCCAGGCTGCAATCACTTCCAGTCTGGCAGACAATGCTTAGAGGCCCCTCATAATGTGAGGCCCTAAGCTATAGCTTGCTTAGCTTGTACCTAAATCTGGCACTACCCCTATGAATCATGTTCCATGATGTGGCGGGGCACCTTTGGTGCCTGGCACTTTAAGGGCTAGAAAAAGCAGCAGAGCAGCCTGCAGGTGGCTGCACTGCCAATCGGGAATCACATGGCCAGCAGGAGGCCACCTGATTGGGAAGAAGGCACAGCTGCTAGTGATAAGAGCAGCTTGCTGCAAGTAGCCGGAGGAGTGGAGCTTGCTGCAAGCAGCTAGAGGGGGAACACTGCACAGCTGGAACTGCTGTTGGAGGTACAGGGTAGGAACTATGGGGATGGAGGAAGCTCCTGGTCCTGGGGAATGATGTAAAACTGCACCCTTGTAAGGTAGGATGGTGTAGTGGGGCTGCCTGTGGTGGGGTGGTCCCCAGGAAATGCCACACTAGTTGCCTCCCTAGTGAAAGGCAATTAAGGGGTGCCTTATAGCCTCAGCCCCCACAACCTGGTGGATAACTCTGTAGCAGAGACAGGTTATGGGTCCAAGCACATCTACAGATACCTGAGTCCCATGGGATGTAAGACCCTGTTACCTCAGTGAGGAGGCAGAATAGTGAGTAGTGGCCCCAGGAAGGGGGTGGAATGTTGTTCCCAGTGAGGGGGCATATAGTGGGTAACAGGCTGTAAGTTTGCAGGGATGGCCTGGAGGGCTGTGCATGAGAGCTCAGAATAGGGTCTGTGTGACCTGAAGGGCTGTACAGGGGTGCGTAAATTAGGGTCTGTGTGACCCAAAGGACTGCACAGAGGCTGGCCTCAACAGCTCAGTGATGGAGGCCCTAGTGAAAGGGGATGATTGGAGGTTCTAGCAAGAGGGCAGGAGGCCCAGGCACATGAGGAAGACTGAGGCATATTTTTTATTTTGGATGCCATCTGCAAGGCATGGACATGGTATAAGGGAAGGTTTGGAGCCATGTATAACACCTTTGGCAGTACAGCACAAAATGGGCAGCCTCCAGCATTATGACATCTTTTTTTATACATCAATGGTAACAGGTGAGACAGGGCAGACTGTCTTAAACAGGTGGGCAGGCCAAAGTTGTGGTTGGCCTCATGACCTCCCCACTGTCACACATGAGTACCGTTCCTACATGCTACGGAAAACCAGTCAAACCATTCTAAGCATTATGTGTGTCCATGTGTGTCCACGCCTCGGCTACAATGTGGCAGGTTTTGTCCTATGACACAAAGTATTATGCCCCTACCTGTCAGCCCTACCTGCAAAGCCTTTTGGCCTCTTAGCTACCTCTCCTTCTATGCTACCTGCCACAGCTTTGTTGTTATTTGTTATTAGATTGTGTGAGGCTGCCTCAGATGCTTTCCTCCACCCTGCTCATCATAAGGTGGCCAACGTAGCCCAATCTGCAATCTCTCTAGTGGATACCTGCCAGTAGCCACCTGCTGGCCTCTCAGGTTCACTTCTTTCCTGTGCTTTTCTGAAGCCTGTCTGGACCTAACCACACTCTGGCCCTCACAGCCTGAATTTTAATCCCAATTTCTCAGTCAAGGCCTGCAATTACCTACCTACAATTAATCACCTGTAATCTACTTTGGCTGCATCTAAACAAGTACTAAATGTCTGTGCAGGATCTGGAGTTACTGCACAGTACAGTCGCTGAACAGCTTTTTCATGACGCTGACTGGTCAGTAGCTCTAGTAACTTGTTACTACTGCGCAGTGATGTCACATCATGCTTCTTGCCACACAACACTACATAGTAGTAGTCACTAGCTACTGCACAGCCAGTGTCTCATGTAGACATGGCCTCTAAGTAGTTTGTTCCCTGAGCTCTCAACTGCTTCTCCTGGAAATGCCATCAACGCTACACTTAACTCAGACTTGGCCGTCTCCTCAGGCACGCTTGCCCCCACTCAGCTGTGAGTACTGGACATGCTAGCCTTCATTCTACCTGTCCCAGACAGACTGTCCCTGTGCCCTCTAGAGCAGTTCAAGCTCCCCTCGGACAAAATTGCCTAAAATCCACTCTATCCCAAACAGAGCACCTACAGCACCCTCTCTAGGTGCTCCTACTGTCCTCCCATGGCTGATGCCCCATAGTCACTGTAATCTCCCTGCTGAATGGCTCCCACCAGTTTCTTGGGGTATGTCACTGTCTATAGACCATTTCAGTCTGCAGGCTTCTCTCAGGGAGCTCCTTGTCCCTTCATGCTCTGAAAAAGTCCAGGAACTAGGCTTACATGGCCCTAAACTCCATCCACTTCTGGTCACCTGATCAGGAAGTATAAGGATGAAGTGAGAATTACTAAAAGTTAAGCAGATTCAGATCCTGCAAAAGATCCAAAAAGAAGAGAGCAAAATGTTCTTCTATCGTGTAAATGAAAACATTATCATGCAGGAAATGGAGTTGCTGCTCAGTAGAGATGGCCCAAAACTAAGTGAATATGCCATCTCAGTTTTCAATAGGGACAATGGTAAGATGGGTGGCAGCAATGAGATGGAATCAACACTCAAGTTTTGTTTGACATACTCAAGTCAGGGACATGAGAACCCCAGAAGTCTGAAAGAAGTATACATGAAATACAGTTTCACTATCACAGATTTGTAATACATCTATCAACTTGAGGGTGGCATCATGTAACTGGAGGAGAGCAATTGTGGTGCCAGTATTTAAGAATGGCATGAGTGTGACTAGTGTTGGCCCAAAAGCGTCCATATTGGCCTCTGAGTGTGTGGGAAAAAAATGACTGGGTGGACACAGACTACAGATACTAAGAGATATCCAAGAGGCCTAACAGAGGGCATGAAGTAGTGTAATACTCAATAAGTAACAAGCCTTTTACTCTTCTCACTGAAGCTATTATGGAAAAAACCTGAAGGAAAGCTCCTGATGACCAACTGGACTCTGGAGGCCTCCTTTGAATTCTTTTTTGGTCTCTGAATTTCATTCCCAGAACTCTTACAAGACTTGCTGTTTGAGTAATTTGTTTATGTACTCTTCTAATGTACATTCATTACTTGTACTTTGAAGGTAATATGAGAATGTTCTCCCACATGGACTTCAAAAACAGTTTTAATAGGAACCATTCTAATTCAAGGGCTATCTGCAAACCAGTACCAAGAACAGTTCATGTATTATGTAACAATGCAGAGTATCCTAAAATATATACAATGTTGTCTTCTCTACACAAACTGTGCTTTGTAAAAGGTTAGGCTTTCTTCACAAACAAGAGACCTGGAAACTGGCCTGACCACAATCTAATATAATGACATTTCCTTTCCTTCCTCTGAGAATAATATGAAATAACCACTTCGCAGATTATTGCCTTTTTCAGTAAATGTCAAAACCCTTGCTGCATTACATATATTACACAATTAACTGGTTTATCACATAATAAATGTAGATCAGCCACACATGCAAAGTAATTATCATGACATAAAAATATCCTTCCAGCTATGGACGTTAGTGCTTGAAAATATTTACAAATTTATAACTGGTTTCTATCCAGGTTTTATCTGAATGTATGGCAGGGCCCGTGACAGACAGCACTGGAGTCAGAGGATTACCATTGAGCATCAGAGTGAGGACAATGCAGAAAAACCCCTTATCCCAATTTAGCAGCCCCTCATCTTTGAAGTAGGATGGACTATCTACTGGATTAGGGGAGTGGATTTCAGGTCCATCATTTTTCAGGCCATCATTGGCCTCCATGTTTGATAATTATTTTAAGCAGAACTTCACCTAACTGAGGTGAACAATTAACTTCACAGAAGTCAATATCCAGTCATCACGATAAACTCGAATCATACCTTAAAAAACAGTGAGAGTATATACTGTTAGAAAAGCCAGTGAACCCTTAATGTAGATGTGGTAACTGAAATAAGCAATTAAATACCGGGAACACAATTATTTTAAACCGTCCTTTTTTTAACAGAATTATCGTATGCCCTTTGCTTTCATGCAGCGGAAAGAAACTTTTATTTTAATCATTTATACATATCCATATAAATGGTTTATCTGCACTTCAGCTGTAAAAAAAAATTAGCTGATATGCAGATAAACACTTAATGACTGCCTGTAATAATCAACTAAATCTTTCAGCTCAATATTCTGCTTCTGAAGATATTCTAAAGGACAGAGCCAAGATTAATGCTTCCCTGACAGTAAGAATCAACTTACTGGGAAGAGCTGCCCTTTTTCCCCTGGTTAAATCTTTTCTGTCTGCGGAGTGTCTAGTAGTTCACTTGCTAGAACGGCACTTTTGTTCTTTTTGCCAAATACATGTAGCAAAAAATCAAAATGTGCCAAATCAAAACAACTGGTGATGACAGTCTGCTTCCTACAAGGTTATCCAACTTCCACTTTCTGCTTGTTATAGTAAAAGCAGTGATGGACAGCTTTTCAAAGGCTCAGCCAGCCCAGTGGAAGCCATATTTTTAAAACAGCTCAGAATTCGCATGCACCTAAAACACTAGTTTTCTTAAAAATCTTTCTTCTTATCCTGGTACCTAAAGGGGAACTGGACCTTATGAAAATTTGGCCTCAAGAACTCAGATTGTGGAATGCAACCAAAGTTGCTAACTTTTACTTCTGAGAGTAGGCTCACTGAAGTGAACAGAGTTACTCACTTGAGTAAGTGATTGCTTAAATCTTGTTTGAACAAGGAATGCTAAGAAAATTAATACAAATTCACTTTAATGGATGTTAGACAGTATAAAACTCCTACATGCACACTCCTATGCAGAATTAGAGTGACCCTTAGCTGATTTCCTCATTACGTCTGGCTGCTGCATGCTCCTTGGTCCTGCCCCCTCCTCAGAGGCAAAGTACCTGCAAGTTGGGTCCCAGAGACCTGCAACTGGGGTCAGAAGGGGACACTGACCTGCTCTGGGCTGAAGGCATAGCTATCCTGGATTAATTTGGTACATGTTATCTGCAGCAATCCTGTGGAATTCTCTGATTTCAAAAATGTGTCTACAGCAGTGTTGTCACAGCTTATGCAATGGAGCCCTGTTGTCTAAGCACAGATGCTTGCCAGTGATTACATTTAGCTTCAATGACTTAGAAAGGAACTCTTAATCCAGACTGAGAGCACCCAAAACTACTTCAAGTGCACAATTAATTTGGATTTCACCATTAGTCTAAGGCACTTTCTGTACACAATCCATTTGTATATACAAACAGCAGCCTGTTTCTCCAGTTGTTTGGGTAAAACAGTGGGTGCCCATACGGAGAGATGCCTCCTTTGTGCTCTGTGTCCCTTTTGGATCTCTGCTTAAATGTAAATGATACGATTTCAAAAGAAGCAATATGATCCAGAAGACTGATCCATAGTCAGAGACTTAGGTAACTTGGGGTGAAATCCTGGGTCATTAGAGTCCATAGGAGTTTTGCAATTAATATCATTCACTCCTGACTTCCACTCCCAGTTTTGGTACTGACCTAGCTCGATAAGCAGGCAAATGGGGAAGGTGTATCTTAATAGCTTTCATTTGTGAGTGAATATCAGGAATCCTCGTTTTCTCTGATTTAAAAAAATCCCCAATTTTCAGTTTAAAAAAAGGTAACCTGAAATCCACATTTCCCCATGATTAAAATGAAACACCACTATATATGTAGGTGTATCTCTATATATAGTGTTTCATTTTAATCTATATATATTAGTGGTGTTTCACAGAGAAATGTGGATTTGGGGTTACTTTTTCAAACCAAAAATTGGGGCATTTTTTTTAAATCAGAGAAAACCAGAATCCCTGGTGAATACACATAGTGCTGAAAACCATCTCTTCCATGCAGCTGGCTGGAATTCAGTGAAACTTAAAGAAATATTCTGAATGTATCCCTTACCCATCAGCAAAGCATGCAGCTATTCCAACATAAATAACAAATGGCAAAATGCCAACTGTTTTGGCATATGCTTGGCACACCATATGGAAGTAGGGATGGAAGGGACCTCATTAGGTCATCTAGTCCAGTCCCCTGCTCAAAGCAGGATCATCCATCATTAAAAAATCCCAGCCTGTGTCTGTCTAACACACTGCTCAAAAATTCCAGGAATGGAAATTAGATAGTTACTGTAGACAGCTTGTTCCAGCTTTTGACCATCCTTGTAGTCAGAATGTTCTTCCTAACAGCCAACCTAAATTTTCTCTGCTCAAGCTTAAGGCCATTGTTCCTAGTTCTGTCCCCTACTTCCACAGAGAGAATCCCATCTCCATCCTCTCTGTAATCACCCTTCAGATTCCTGAAGACAATTATCAAATTCCCCCTTTGTCTTCTCTTCTCCAGACGAAATAGCCTTAGTTCTTTCAGCCCAAGTGTAGGACCTTGCACTTGTCCTTGCTGAATCTCACGCGCTTTATAGCAGATAATTTCTCCAGTTTATCCAGGTTATTTTGGATCCTAACCCTGCTCTCAAGAATGTCTGCAATTCCATCCATCTTGGAGTCTGCAAATGTGCTAAGCATCTGCAGCTGCAGGCATTTCCCTGCATACATGTCAGAGTACTGACATTAATCTACCATGATTATATCTATCTTCTGCACAACATTAAAGGCAATAGAAGTCCAGAACATATAGTTGGATTCTTCCATTCCTCCAGACGAGGGCACAGGTGAATTGTAAAAGAAAGAATACAGAAATCAAGAGCCCACTCCTAATACTGAAAATGTCTCTCTCAAATACTTTCTTTGAGATACATTGCACATTTTACCTACTGAGGATTTATAACTGGAAGCTGGGACCAGGAGGACATTACTAAAAGGTGGAGAGCTTTAATTCATTAAATGCAAGCGCTCTCACCCTTAATGTGATTATATATTGGTTAGGGCAATGAGGCACATCATTCTCATCTTTATTTACTGGCACAACCTCATTTAGGCTGCTTATGAAGGAATCCTCAGCATATATTATCAAGCAAGTATTGTAGTCAGAAACATAACTAATAATTTAAAGATTGCAAACATTTTGAAAGAGGCGTCCGGGACTGCCTGCTCGCCAAAAAGGCGGCGTACGCCCGGTGGAAGGGGGGTGAAATCTCCAAAGAGGAGTATACCTACTCAGCTCGGGCCTGTAGGCGAGCTGTTAGGAAGGCCAAGGCGGACATGGAGCTCGGACTAGCGTCCAAGATTAAGGATAACAAAAAGTCCTTTTTCAAATACATTGGGAGGATGAAGAAGGTGCCGG